TTTATTTAGATGGGTATAATGTTTTTAGACTAAATTTTTGAATATCTTAAAATTAATTTTTCTTCAAGTGATCTTAAGGCACACTCACATTGGTTTAATGTATTTAAAAAAAATTAATTTTCTTGATACTAGCCTTAATACTTGAATCCTAAATTTGAATAACAAAGTTATGCTTACTGCTTACTGCTTACTGGACCTAAATCTCAGAGTAAACATTGTTATAAGAAAAGTTTGTGTACCAGTAGTAGTGAATATCATCCTCAAAGAGTTAAAAGGAGAGTATTGAAATTGAGTGTCATTAATTGTAGGATTTTTACGGAAATGATAAAAATGAAATAAACTCAAAAGGAAAATAATTAAGAGATAATTTTTTAAAATTTTTTCATCTAATATTACATATTATTTAATAATTTATTTTTTTACTTTATTAAAATATGTAATATTGTATGTATTCATTTATTTAATAACATGTGAGAAAAATATAAAAAAAATTTTACTGAAAAATTGTCCACATATCATTACCCAAAATTAAATAATTTTTAAATATTTTTGTCCAATTAAAAAGGGTATTGATATACATACTCAAGTTATGGTTGGTTGGTGGTAGTAATTATTTATTAATTAAATTATATAAAAATACGATAAATTTGACAAACTTAAAAAGCTAAGAATAGCTCATAAATCTTAATTTGTTTGGTTTGAGGGGAATAAAGAATAAGAAATTTCTCTATTTGGATAACAAAAATTAGAGGGATAGAAGGAAAGGTGCTTTCTCTTATTTTACCTTTTTTCCCTTTTCATTAGTGTATCCAAATGAGGAAATGGGAGGGGATTAGGGGAGAAGGAAATGGAAGGATATTACTGTCCCACCTCTTTTTTTTTTTTTTTTTTAATCGAAATAAGGGTTCAATGCTTTTACAATTTGAATAGGAATAACCATTACCGCTGACCAAGTTCCTACAGAATTTTTAAGAAATTAAAAGAAACTAGTTCTCTTCTTTGTGCCTCCTTTCTCTCTCAAAAAAACCCTAATCACCCTTCTTTGTCTTTTCCGCTAGGCGGCGTGCCTCTTAGGATTTTTTAAAATATGCATTGTGTGGCCCCCAGGGTTCATATGGTAGTCGCGTTGTTTTGATTTCTTCTCCCTTTTTGGTTTTTAAGAAGAGTAGTTTTTTTAACAAATTAGATTTTTTCATTCTTCTTGGGTTTCTAATGAAAGTTTCATAGCAGTTGATTAGTTTATGTGATGTGTAATGTTTATGGTTCATCTAGAGAGTCAAATTTAAAGATAATTTTCACACTGATCTAAAAGTACAATATGATAAGAAGCCACTTCTTTTTAGGAGAAAAAAAGAAGGAACAAGACTTTGGGGAGCTTTCTCTTCCCTTTAACTGGTTTGGTTTTGGCTTTGCTGCTATTGAATAGGTGGGGCTCTTCTAATAGCGTATGTTGCCCCAAAAGCTGGAACAACAGAATGTGATTACAAAATAGTTCAGTACATTCGTAATGGTAGTGTAGTCACTTTATTCCCCAGTAGTGTTTACTTAGATACTTATTTTCTTATGTATGACAGCTCTTTGTTCTTAAGCGTTTGAATATGTTATGAGCAACAGGGTCTCTCACTAGTGCTATAAGAAAATAATTAGAGAAGAAAAGTCTTACACTTCATCCGACATAAAAAAACATTAATTGAAGTGAGAAAGGATAAAAAGCCTGGGATTTATTAATGATAATTTATTATTTCATACTTTATGATAATACATTTTTTTCAATCATTAATTATAATGGTAATGTTTTTTTGTCTGCAAGATGAACTATAAAACTTCAATATCTTTTAAGATGAAAATGGTTACTGTCCCCAAAAAAGTGTTAAAACCACCAAAATTCCAGTAGTATTTCTCTTGAAAACACTATCATTCATAGGTATTGTTGGTTTTTTTTTTTTTTTTTGTAATAAGGAGATAATATATATATATAGATAGTTAGCTGGCTACAACAGATCTTGGGAATATAGTCCTGATACAGTCATGATACAAAATAGAAGAAATCCGACTTTCCTCGTACACAACAAAGTCAGTGACAGTAGTAGATCCCCGTTTAGTAAGAAAATCTGCAACCGCATTAGCTTCCCTATAAATATGGCTGATCGTGGCATTGGAAAAGAGACTTAGAAGCGATCTACAATCAGAAATGAGAACACCCAGTGAATGCAAGGTTACTTTAACACATTGTTTGTGACAGTAAACGGGCAAATCCCTGTCTAGATGGACACAAGAGTTCTACTCTGTTTCAATTTAGCTTCTCATTTATTAAATATGGATGTTTGTATTTAATTATCTCACTTTTATAATTCATATGGGACATTAAATATTAGAGAAAAGTAAAAATTAAGATATTTCGACGTTTTAAATTTTTTGTGTGTTGATTTATTAGGATATTTAAATTTTTTATTATTAATTCTGATATTTTAATTATCAATACGTTCTTAACTTTCTTCAACTTCAAATGTAGTATTCCAATTTTATCTCTTACTCTAGTATTTTTATTAAAATGGTAAAAGTTTTAAGTAATCCTTAGATTATTTAGATATTTATAATTCAAAAATTAAGATAACTAAATCCAAATGGAGAAAATTTTTTCCCTTTTTAATCCAAATTATACCAAATTTAAAAAGATGAATTTTAGTTTTTGTTTGGAATTATTG